GGACATTTGGGTTGATTCCAAGTCTTTGCTATTGTAAATAGTGCCACAATAAACATACGTGTGCATGTGTCTTTATAGCAGCATGATTTATAATTTGAGTCAGGTGAGAAGCAGTCAAGGGACCCTAGATAAGATTACAATATGTGTAACTTTTAAAATGTTTTATTTTTATAGTTTCATCTTAATTAGACATATCAGAGTTTTTGTGAAAAAGAGAAATGATTTATGATTCTTTTCATTGTCTTGCTTGCGTTATGACTGAAATAATCTTTTACTAAAAATTTTGATAAAGACAACAATAGTATTAAAATCATTTTTATCTCACGTCCTTTTTAAAACTTATATTGTATTCATATGCATGAGTGTACACAATTAAGGACCTCAAGAATTATAGAGTTTAAACGAATTATATGAAACTGAAATATAAAAATAAAATTCATGGAAGCCAAAAATGTACGTAATGTTTATATCCTAAAGATAATACATTTTATTATCTTGTGTGAGAGAACAACTTTACCTGTTCAGCTAAGACAAAGTGTCATTTTATGAAGATAATTTTTCTTTACCTTACCTTAGTCTTTGCCTCTGTCTCTTCTTTTTTGATGTCAGAGATATCCAATTGTATATGAAGGAAAAAAGCTATTTAATATAATTTTATTTGGAACACTTCACTGCACTTGAAGTTATTGTGTTAAATTAATTCATACTATTATTCAAACCAGTTTTTCAGGCAAAACAAGTTTGTGTGTGTGTATCACTTTGTAGATACAGTGATTTCTACATATTTTTCATTCTTCATCAATATTTTAAAATAATTTTATTCCCAAACCACTTAAAAAATGAAGGCATGGCTAAAAGTAGTAATTTTTTAAAAGTCTCTTCTTGCAGCTACTGTTATTTGAATAAATAGAGCCTGCGTTAGGGAAGCAATATTCTGTCACTAACTTTATTTTCCTGGGTCAGGCATCTAAGCTCTCTGATTTTCAGCTTTCCAACCTGAAAGATAAAGTATCTTCGTTTAGTGGGAGTATTAAATGAGGCAAGATAACAAACATGAAAAATATATAAATATTTTTATTTATATAATATATATGTATATGTATAAATGTAAAATATATATGTATAAATGTAAATGTTCTTATGTAGGTATAAGGTATCACTTTAAAATTTTTCCTTTAGCCTGAAATAACTAATGACCCTTTTAATGTGAGTACTGTGCTCTCATTATATCTTAACTAAGTCAAACCTCCAATAATCTCCATCAAAGATTTTTCTTTGTCCTATGACAATTTGGATTAAATTGTCAATTTAAAATGATTACACATTAGAAAATATGAAGACAAGAGATATCCTAATACTTAAGAATAATAGAATTTTAAAAAATTCTTTGATATTAAATTGAACTTAATAAGTGCCCTGAAGGCAAATGCATCTTTTAAACTAATTATCTGTACTGTGTATTCTATTTAATATTAAAAAGATACTGATTAAATAAAATCAATCACATTCCTCTGTAGTCACACTTCACACTGGATTAAATAAAAATATACAGTTTCTGTATTAATTCTGATTAAAAATATATTACATTTAGAATCATGCACTCATGATAATTTTCAGAAAAACTAAAACATTTACTCTGTTCATCTTTGATCTTTAAAAATTAAGTACAGGAGAGTAAAAAAGGAAGTAATATAATAGCTAAATTTATTTTCTAATAGGTTTCTACTTTTCTTTTAGATCTAAGTACCATGGTTTGCTAATTGTAACAGAAATAAGCCACCGATGGGTGTGTACATTTAATGTATAACTCTTTGTCTATGCATTTTGATTGTAAATGAGCTTAGATATATGTTGGTTTTCTCACTCTTATTCTTGGAGTACATTTCTAGTGTTGTTCTCAGAAGGCTGAGTGTTGCACAAGAAAATTCATAGGGCTAGTGGCTTTCTCTCTTACATATTTAAAACTTCTAGCTCCAGCTGGGTCATCAGTGTTGGTTGATCCTTCTACTCATCCTTAGCAAACTGCTTTTTTATTTTCAGAAAAGAAGTGACAAACCTCTGTTTCATTACCTTTTTCATTGTACCACCTCTCTGCCAACCTCACTTGCTCTCTATCAGCAGATATCTCATATCCCTGCTGCTCTGAGAAAGAGGAAGGCTTCAGGTGTGTTATCCATAAATTACCAATTAATAGCAAAGTGGTAGCTAGGTTTCAATTTCATACCACAATGTCTTTTCTTTTTCTTTTTTGGATAACTTCAAATGGGATGTATATTATCCAGCATGGCATAGTCTTTGCCTTTGCAACGTCAGACCTGTCTTACCTATTTGTATTATTTTCTTGGCCCCTGTGGGTTTCTGGATTTGAGACCCAAAAGGAACACATTTGGAAGAGTGCAATGCCTGTCACTAAGGGCTTCTGCTCTAACTGAAATATTGCTTTTTCAAAAAGCCCTTCTTTTTCATTTATCTTTAAAGTTCCCTCCCTCTCTCTCTGTTCCTCTTTTCCAGCAGCCTAGAAACTTACCTCTGTTTATTCATTTTAAATGAGAACTCTGTTTCCATGAAAATAATGCTCCTTATTTCTCTTCCACCCACTCCCACGACTTCTCTCCCAACCTTCTAGCAACTTCATAGTTTTTACTGAGATAATGTACATATTTTTATTTCATTGTAGAAACATTTTTACACACTTTTAAGCACTAAAGGATATAATGAAGAGGTAGAAAGAACTTTTTTCTCTCAAATTTTATTACAAAATATTCACTAACAATAGAAAAATCCAAAGTATTTCCCACATATATTCAATAATTGCTATTATGCTGCCATAAATTCTTTATATATACTACTCTATATATACATACATGTGTATGTGTATATATATAAAGCTGAGACTTTTGAAAGTAAGCTGCACATAGTGTAACACCACATCCGTAAATATTTCAGCAAGCACCTTCTAAGACTAAGGACAGTTTTCTACCTAATAACATTATTATATTCTCACCTAAGAAAATTAACAATGATTCCATAATATCAGTCATTATCTTGTCCATATTCAAATGTCTACAGTTATCCCAAAAATGCCATCTGTTGCTTTTATTTGTTTACTTTTTGGGTGTGGTAAAAGTGGAAGTGGACCAGGATCTATTTGAAGCTCCTGTATTGCATTTGGTTGTTATTGTGAAGCATTTAGACAGCCATAATCTTTTCACTTGGCTTTCCAGGCTGCTGTCTGCAAATGTATGCTTAGTAAGCATACACTCTTCTAAGGTAAAAGGCATCTCTGACTCATGCTCTGGAAGCTGCTTGAAGTCTCTTATTTTGGTTGCTTGTGAGTCTCTGAGAGTTTCCTGGCTCCATGGCACAGAATAGGATCAGGATCCGTAGGATTACATTCCTGATCTGAATGAGAAGAAGAACAAACTTGTATATATTATGATAAAGATGGAAGGACTATATCCATGTCTTGCAATGTTCATTCAGACCTTAAACTTCAACCTGAAGCTAAGAAAGAATGATAATAAGGTTGGCAAATATCTTTGAATTGACTCAGAGAGAAGCTAGCACAAATATTCATTGTCCCTGGGGTTATGTAGACTAATTTGGACTCAGAAGTCAAGAATGTTACTGAAATCAGGAAGTTTTCAGTAAACGTTCTACCAAACCTATTGTCAATTCATCTTCAAAACAACAATAATTATTAGATTCTCCTGTAGAATGGGATAGTTGACCAGAGCTCATATTCTTCCACTTCCTGGCTTCTTTTGACTAGAAATCTGCAGCTACAGTACTTTCTACTTATATTACGGAAATATCTTCCACATAGAGCTGGATTCCTAAACACCTTAATTTTTTGTGGGGCTGTGCTAGACCTCTTCTTCTTCTGTGTCACTTCTGAGTGCACTGAATTCTTTTAGTCCATCTCTATTCTGTGCAGCTGTGAAGGTGTCAGATTTTACCTATCTCAGGTTCAGATTTTTTTTTTTTTTTTTTTGGTTCTTGCTGCCTTTCTAAAATTATCCTGGGTAAGGGAGTATAATAATATCTGGAGTCTCAGATTTTTCATACCCATCTTGGTAATCTAGCATTGCCCAGACCCTCCCTCAGATAGCTCATATCTAGGGAGGAAAAGGGAATATTCTGACTACCTCCTTCTTTTCAGGGACACACAAATATCTAACAACTCCTGGCTTCCCATCCAACTTTTCTTCTCCTGCTCCAGTATGGGGAATCTTTATCTAGTATTGTGTGTGTGATTTGTCAACTATTTATCCAAATTTGTATTTTATGTTCTCCTTTCCATAGAATGCAGGCTTCTGAGGTGATCCTTTATCATTTCTTGAAAACAAAAAATACCTTTCTAATGTGAACTACAAAGTGGATAGTGGTGGTAGATAATGGAAAATACAGTCATGAAGACTAATGTCAGTATATTTCATCCCATCTTAACAAAATTACTCTCCAGTAAAAATCTTGTCACTTATTTAATTATTATTTAATTATACTTTTTATTCTTTTACTGATATTAATGGAATATGTTTTCTTATTTCCAGAGTACCGTGAAACAAAATGAACATCATAAACTATGTCTATGTTTAAAAGACACAGTATTTTAAGGAAAGAATGAGGGTTGGACTTCAAAATGAAAATTGGGATGGGTAAATGGGCAAGTTAAAAAAATTAGTGGAAATTGTTTATTAAAGATAATGGAACTTGGAGCTAAAGCTGGCCAAAGATGTTGATTACCATGCTTTGGGTAGATGAAGTTGTGTTTTGGATAAATAATTTCACAACCTAACCCACTCTGTGTTAGATAATTTCTTATTCAATGAAAAGATATTTAATTATTTAATTCAAGGAAGCAGTAAAATTATACCAAGGAAATGTATTTTTAATTTACTCATTTATTTCACAGGCGTATAATGATATGAGAAACTTCATTGATACTTTGTTTTGAGTTTGACTCTTTTTCAGCTTTCATATGAACTTCTCTTTTTCAGCAGACTCTGCCCACTTCAGGAGTTTCTGTTCCTGAGGTGCGTAAGCAAAAACAGGTTTTCACACTTACAATTATAGGCCATTATACATCTTGTATAGCTATAAAGAGCATTTTGTGCTGGCTCAGTGACATTCGAATACCAGCATTTTATATTTTATTTTTTTCATATTCTGCTAATTGGAAGTGGTGGTTTTCATATTTTCGGTGATGGGATAGACTTGAAGAATTTTCAATCTATATTTGTGATAAGCATTAAGAAAGCAAGAAGTTATGTGACCCAGACTTCACAGAGAAAAATAAAGGTTACTTTACAAAGAGTTTTTACTAGCATAGAAAAATAATACCATTCCCATTTTTTCACATTAAAATGTACATACATTGCAAGAAATCCAAAACAATTTATTCTTTGAGCCGTCAAAATGTAAGTTTCAATGGCAGTATGTTGAGAGACTCTTGCTTACTTTGAAGTGCCCATCACTTTCAAATGAATACAACTACATTAATCACCTAGTCCATGCCATTGTATAGAAAGACATCAGAATAAAATATAGTCACAGAATAAATGGCTTTTAGTTTGAAAATAAATGTAAGCATTGCCACAATTATTTTCAGTAACATTTTTGCTTTATCTTTGCATTGATGATACAAAGCCTCCACATTTTTCTGTGACAATATCCTATTCAATTGTTATTATCTCTATAGGAAATGCCCAAATGGTCTTGTTTTCCTTAAAATTATTTAAATCTGCTTATTTTAGAAAGTATTACTTACATGAATGCTACATAAGATGATGAATTTATTTAGAGGGTAACATGCTTGCATAAAACGGTAATAACTGCTCTTTTCTCCTCACCAAAAATGGCTTTTTAATCAGTGTAGACCCCTTCGTTAAATTTTTTAAAAAAGTTCTCATTTTTAACCAGAGACATACTCAAAAATACTTGGAGATAACCCTTAAATATAATGTTTCTAATCTAAGAAAATGTTAAGCTGATTTTATATTCTTTGAGTTGATGACATTATTATCACGATTATTATTATAAAATAGAGATGCTAAATTACACACTTAAGTGACAAAAGTATTAGGACAGTTTAATATTTCATTGGGTTAAGTGTGAGAAAATTAATTTTGCATCTCAGGTTCTTGAGTTTGTTTCTGCCCCTATTATCAGCCCCATCAAGTGAATGTAGTCATTGCATTTGAGATGTAAAGTTTTCTCTTTAGATCTGTTAATCTCCAGAGCATCCCTGTGTATTCAATTCTGTAATTTGTGTCATATAGATTGAGTAAACAGATCCAAATTTTTGTTTTTATATATTTTTTTCAATTTTCAGGATGAAAGTCTTTATTTTGATATGAAGCTTTTAAAAGTCTTCCTATACTTATTTATTTTTCTGGCATTATATATTGGTTTACATTAACTTAAACTTTCCAGTATCCCTCAAAGTCATTACATAAGATTTTTCAACTTTGTTGTTCCAAAATTTTCCTTAAGCCTATGCATGGATATATGCATGGCTGAGTGTGTGAATACACATATATACACACAGAGAGACAAGAAACCTTATGTTCTACCATCAGGAACATTTGCTCCTTGGTTAACGGAAAATGTGGTTAAAGTATATGTGGGAGAACATATATAAAGATATATACATACATTAAACGTTTAACTTAAAATATGTAGATTTATATTCATTGGCTATATTTTTGAAGATTAAAGGCTTTTCTATGAGTACAGATCTTCTAATTGGAAATGGTATCTTGCCTTTCTTGCATATATCACAAGCTTATTACTTATAATAGTTTCAATTCTTTTAAAGTATAACAAAAACTCAAGAACATCTGTGAAGTAATTTGAGTGTAAAAACACTTACTATTTTTATTATTAATACCCAAAGCTTGCACTGTTGTTCTCTCTAAACTTAATCTGACCACTCCTCATACACGCCACACAGGCGCACACACACGCACACACATACACACACACAACTTGTGTTATTTTGTCTTTCTAAAGCTTGCAGATTATTTTTTATAAAGACAACTCTTTCATTTTGCATTCAAAATTCAATGATGTGAGTAATAATTAAATTACACAATTACAATTACAAGGTAAGTTTTACTTAGAACTGGCATAAACAGATTGAGGGCTAATAAGTCACTATGTTGAGCATTAGCTTAGGTGGTACAAAGAGACAATGAGTGTGAGCATAAGAGAGCTGCCTCCTGGTGCTTACTTTCAGTTTGCTGTGGACGACAGTCAGTATGGTTTACAAAGGGACTGGAGAGTGAGGAATGTTGAGGTTGGTTACAAAGTCTGCTTTTTTTTTTTTTTTTTTGAGACAGAGTGTCACTCTGTCACCCAGGCTGGAGTACAGTGGCATGATCTCGGCCCACTGCAGCCTCTGCCTCCTGGGTTCAAGTGATTCTCCTGCCTCAGCCGCTGCAGTAGCTGGGGTCACAGGCACACGCCACTAGATCCAGCTAATTTTTTGTATTTTTAGTAGAGACGAGGTTTCACCATGTTGGCCAGGCTGGTCTTGAACTCCTGACCTTGTGATCTGCCCACCTCAGCCTCCCAAAGAGCTGAGATCACAGGCGTGAGCCACCACGCCCAGTCCAAAGTCTTCTCTTGTATATAAAGTATATACATACATATATGTGTATGTATACTATATATACACACACACACACACACACACACAAACATACAAACATTATTTTATGATGGTGCTGCAATATACTATCACATAGCCAAAATTAAATTATTTTGGTATACACCCTCTTATTCCTTAATTTCATTCCTTTCAATAAGAATTTCCTTAACAGAAATCTTGTAAGCGGTTTATACCCAGGATAATATCCTAGGAGAAAATATGAACTTCATGTGTAATGTATGAAAACTGGGACTTATGGATCAAGTCACCAAGTGTACCTTCAAGTTGAGGAAGCAACTAACATCCCCAGGTACTTTAAGACCAGTTGTCATTTTGTCTGCTTTGTTGCCCCCCGTCTCTCCCAAAGACATCACCCAGATCACCACAGCAATTATTCTCAGCTATGGTGACTTAGTGGGCAAATAAAGTACAGGATGTTAAATGAAAACACTTCTTTACAACACTTACCTTCTACTACTATGACCAAGCAGTTTACCTGTGATTAACTTAATAATAAAATATGTAAAAATCTTTATCTGTACTTTAAAATCATTGCCATTTACTGAGTGCCTGTTTTATGTCAGTACTTTTATCTAAATTTTCTTACTTTTTTCTAACATAAACTTTCCAATTTATAGTTTAAACAAATGGTAACATAGCAATGGTAAACAACTTGCCCCAGCTGACACAGAAATAAAAGACAAACCTGCATTTTGGCGTCTAAGCTCATACTTTTGCCTTTACAAAAAGTTGTTTTTTCTTTTTTTAAAAGTACTTATTTAACTAAGTTTAAAAGAAATACAAATCTTTAGACCTTATATTGTTTATTATATTTATGTTTAAAACAGTATAATTAAAAAAAATCAAGACTTTTTTTTCTAGTCAGTAAATAGTTTTGCTGCAATTTTTAAAGAGTACTAATAGATTTAGAGCCTTCATCATTTTTGGAATGAATTTGTTTCCTTCAGCCACTAAAATGTTCAAATCCCACATTAAGTCCATATTGGTTAAAGGTGCAGCTTTACAGTTTGTTAGTAAGGTGGTGTCTCAGACCCAACCTTTGTAAGTCCCACTGAATGTGGTAACATTTCTGCATCAGAGAGATCTTAACTGCTGTGAATCTTTGTGATACTTTAGGTTAAAACTCTAGGGTTTCAGGAAAATTCATGTGGCCTAGCTCCAGTGGCAGAAAGGACTAAGTCTCCATTCAGGCAAGTTGTGCAGTAGTAGCAGCTAAAGTAAGTTCTACGATTCAAGCGATGGCTGCTGTTGGCAGGAAAGCACTCGCCTTTGTAGCTTTGTACCAGTGGAGGTGCTTTGCTGCTGCCAGTTTCTCATGCTGAGATTGGACAAAAAGAAGAAAACCCTGTTCTTGAGGTAATCATCACTTGCTGCTTGCAGTTTGCCAGCGATCGATAACAGCAGGCTTAAGTATTGTGGTAAACAACCCTTTTGTGAAAGCAGTTTTCACCAATGTACAAATGCTCTACCTCTGAGAATCAGCATGATGTAGACAAAGATTTTTTTTTAGAGCACATATTTAAAGTGAGGTCTTTTTATTTTATTTATTTCATCTTTCTATTTTCTGTGAATGGTCTTTTTGGCTTTTCTTCTCTGTTTATTATGATGATTATTCTTTTGGAATTCTAATACAATATAATCCCCAGTTAAGATCTGTTGTGCTGCTTGTAGAGTCTACGGATCACAAAACACTGAATTCTATATTTAAAATGTCTACATAGCAAACACAAATGGTTGATATTTGAAAATGCTCAAATATCAATAACTGTATTTTATATTTTGTAGTTATATGTTCTATACTCTTTCATGACTTTTTTTTTTTGTTAGAGTAGCTCTTTTCAGAGTTTGAATAATTTCTATTGATTAAAGAAACAATTTTCCAACTCTTTGTATATCTAGGATGATTTATCTAGCAGAAGGAAATTTGCCTTAATTACAACAATGTAATTTTTTTTGTGGTTTAGAGCCCCAAAACATAAAGAAAGAAACCGAAGGTTAAAAGGCAAACACTGTCCCCTATTATCAGAGAGCAATTTTATCCTGAATGATTGTGCAAACTAAGATTGGTGAGCTCTTTCTGAAACTTTTCAATAAGTTCAACATTGGTAATTAACTCTCATAAATATCATAATAGAGGTCTGCCAGTCAGGGTCAATTGACCTCCCAAAAAAGCTAGTGAAACCTGGTAGAGAGGAAATTTTCCAAGGATGCAATTGCCTCCCCCTTCCTGTGCCTCATATAAAAAGGAGAGACAATTTTCTCAATGGAAATAGAAGAAAAATTAAATAGTGATGAGGCTCTCCTGTTTTTTAAGATTTTAGCCTGGATTAATTCCACAAATTCCACACATTTGCATTTTTCTCCAAAGAATTCACTTGGTTTTCTTGATGCGTGTGTCTGTGTGTTTGTGTTTAAATGAATGCTCACAATTTTAGTATTAACTAGATACTATAATAAAATACACAGACAGATGGATACACTGAGAATTTTAAAAATTAACTTGTTATATGCCTCTGTCTCATATTCTGGATTTCATAAATGAAATCTCATGAGTTGAAAACTCTAGGGTTTTAAAATTTGTTTTTATTTATATATTTATTTTTTGAGACAGAGTCTCACTCTGTCACTCAGGATGGAGTTCAGTGGCACAAACTCGGCTCACTGGAACCTCCACCCCCAACTCAAGTGATCCTCCCACTTCAGCCTCCAGAGTAACGGGCCACAGGTGTCCACCACCATGCCTGACTATGTTTTTGCATTTTTAGTAGAGACAGGGTCTCACCATGTTGCCCAGGCTGGTCTTGAACTCCTGAGCTCAAGCGATCTGCCTGCTTCAGCCTCCCAAAGTGCTAGGATTGTAGGCGTGAGCCACCACACCCGCCTGTTTGTATTATTTCTGATTGCTTACGCTAAAGCAATTGTTTAGTCTCCTGCCCAGCTTACTTAGGGGGCTGACAACTTGGAGGGACATGATGCCATTTAATCAACTGCTATCTCTGCCAGTTGGAGGTTCTTAGAACACAAGAATTGCCCTAGATATATGTGTGGCTAAGAGTAAAGTAATATTAAGAGATAGTTTTGTAGCTCTTTAAAAACATATACTTACATGTCTTAAATTTCCATTAAAACATGAATATATAATCTGGTGCAAATTTCCAGTTCCATTGTAACTAATCAAATTGAATTTTATTTAATTCTTCAAATGTACGCATTTTATAAATTGAAGGCCAAACAACAATTGTTGGATAATTTGGAAGAATAACTGTATTAAGTTATATCTTTCACATGGCAGATTTTTACAAAATATTGATTCCATGTTTTATATATGTGCATGCAAGAATGCTGGAGTAAATTATTTCCACACTCACCAATAACATTAAGTTTTTGAACAGCTGACACAAGCTATGTGTTTTCAAATATAAGCATTGAACTTTTCAATTTTAAATATGTTCCTAATGTAACCACTGATTTTTTTTTCATACATACACACATTTGGAAATACAAAAACAATGTTGATGAGCACCCTAATAGGCAACCACAACTATTTTACATCACTCATAGTAACTTTTATATTGAATACATACTTTAATGTAGGGACAATATTACAGACTATACATGTTCTATTAAACCTTACACAACTCTGAAAAATAGGTATCACTATCTCTATTTTGCCAAAGCGTAAACCCTCTAGGTTACGTAATACTTAAGTAGTAGAGATGAGATTCAACTCAGGCATTCTGATTCCAAACCTCATCTAATAATTCATTCCTCTTATACATTATGCCATTAACTGTCTATGAATGCAATTATAATTTGCAAACTTAAAAAGAAGGAACTTTCTTTTAAAAATCAATATTTTTGCCAGAAATTATGCTTATATGAAAGCATATCATTTTTCAAACAACTTGAATTTCAGGAATCCTATTATGGCATCCATTTGCAGCCACACACAAAATATATTCAGTGTTTTTGCACCATGGAATTGCAAGGTAAATGGACTATACGGATTAGCATTTGTTTTAGTCAGAGACAATTTCTGATCCATCTAGCCCTAATATATTTAAAAACAGCTTTACTTTCAAAGCTACTTAAAAATGTCTTTCTAGGAATAAATTCAATGCTTGATAGCTGAGAAGGATGATTATACTTTAAATATGTATTGTTCTTGGGCAATGATCAGTCTAAATACCCTTACTTGATCACTATACATCATATACACGTAAAACATTTCTCAGTTACCCCATACATTTGCACAAATAAAAACAGATCTTTCTAAACTACAGAAATTGAAATGATACTCTAACAAGCAAATATAGGAACTAGGAAATATATATAGCTGAGTAAGTGATAGGAAATGTGTGGCACTAAAGCACTTAAGCACCCATGGCACACATTGCCAATCAATTAGAACAATTTTTCACATCAAGCCTAGGTCCCCAAAAATCCTTCTCAACAGTATGCTTCAAGAACTTAGAAAACTTTTTTAAAAAGTTTTCATTTATTTCTTCATTCATTTATCCTGACTTTTGTTTGTCACTGATTTAGAATCTGATATAGACCAGTGAAACAAAGAAAGTTCTTTTACTTATGGAACTTTAATTAAGATGAAAGAATGCAGGCAGTTAAACAAATCAAATACATAATACCTTAGGTTGTAATAACTGATGTTTTAAAAGGGGGCCGAAAGGACTAGAGAAACTTCTCTCTGACATTTGACCACATCCTGAAGTGAGGACCAAGGTCAAGAAGTGTGCAGTGGCAAGTTTTCCACCAGACTGAAGAATGGTTGCAAAATCTCTCAATTTAAAGCATGATTGTTATGATCAAGGAACAATGAGGAGGCCAGTGCAGCTGGAGTGTAGTAAAAAAAGGGATGAGTTTGACTTTTGTGTAGAGAACTGAGTGTAGGAAGACAGAAATGGAAGTAGAATGATTCATTAGGTGATAGATAATCCAAGCAAAAAAAAAGATAACGGCTGTTTAAACCATATAATGAGGCAGGTGGTGAGTAGTCATCCAGTTTGAGATTTATTTTCAAGAAACAGAATAGGCAGGAAATTTTTAAACTAATCTTAGAGATTTTACAATTACGTGTTTTAGGCCCTCATGTGGACATATAGAAACAGTGTCTGCATATAGAAATTAAGGCTCGGGTAGAAATCAGAACAAGAATTATACATTTAGAAATATTCATAAAAATGAAATTGAAAGCTGTGGGGATGAATGAAGTTACCTAGGGAGTAAGAGTAGATAGAGAAGATGAGAGGTCCAAAGAAGAGGCCAAGTCTTACAGGTTGCAAAGCTGGAGAAGCAATGGGCAAAAGAGACTGTGAGGGCGAAGTTTTGAAGGAAGAGCCCTCAAAGAAAGAAGTGTCCTGGAAGCCACGTGAGGCAAGTTTTCAAAGAGTAAGAAGAGATCAGTTCTGTCAGATACGGCTGAAAGATTTGAGAAGATGAAGACTGACCTTTAGATGTGAAACTGAGATGGACATTGGTGATTTTAATAAATGATAGTTTGTTGGAGTAATGGTGATACAAGTTGATTGGGTTGTGTTAAGAGAGAGTGAAAAGAGAGGAAATAGGAACAGGGAGCAGGCAATTCCTAAAAGAAATTTTTTTACTTTGAGGAACAAAGTAATTAGATGGGATGGAATGTCAGTTTTAAGATATATGCTATTTTTGATATAAATAGTAGCTTAAAAGTCCATCATGCAATTAAAAATAATTTTCAATATTGCACATATTTATAAGCTTTTCTTAGTAGTCAACACCACATTCTTTAAATTATAATCCTATACCCGTTATCTGTATCATTGCATATGAAAATAATCAACTTTAGTAATCCTTAATAACTTTTGATAAAGAGTCACAATTGGGCACATAGGGATAATACAATTTGGTATTCTTTCTCATTATTTCTTTAAATGGTGGTTCGATCATGAAACTATCATATATATTGAGCCAGTTGAAAACAACAGCTTTCACATTATTCACTAGGAACTTCAAATTAGAAAGTTGAGCCTGGGTTCGTACCCATGAAACTCTTCTATTAGTAAAACAACTTAACTTTTTTTTAATGTTATTTTCATAATTTTTAGTTTTATCAAAGATTTTCTTTTTTACAGGAAAGACAATCAACAGTGAAAAAGGAAAAGAGTGTTTCCCAGCAGCCAAACAAGGTGATCGACAAGAATAAAATGCAAAGAGCCAACTCTGTTACTGTAGATGGACAAGGCCTGCAGGTATGATTTTTTAAATCAAAGTTTTACTAGGTTTCACATTTGATACTTCTAGGCTCTCAAAGGGGCATATGTTCAGCTATCAACACATTTGTTTAATCTGCATATTAGCTTAGTAGACTCTTTCAGAAAGATCTTTATTAATTTATCAAGATGTCAGTCTTATGGTTGATTGACAGAGTAACATTCTGGTTAAATTAATCATTTATGAGTTTATCTCCGTTTAAACTCAAATTGGCAAGTGATCTTTTGAAAGATTTGCAAATTATTGCTAAATATACACATTTATTAAATGCATATGTGTTATTTATTTACAGGTATACTTTTTATCTCTCTATATATTTATATTTAGTGTGGGTATGATTTAAAGAGTCACTTTGATAGCAAAAATGTCTTTAGGAAAGAAGAAAATGAACTCTGAATATATATTTTCTAAATAAATAATTTTTAATAATAAAGAACTTATTGTAATATATTTCCAGCTTTCAAAATTTTAAGTCAAAATTTAAACCCCAAATATATTTCTAGGTTAAATAAACACAGGTAGTCATTTTTTAATACTATTATATAAAAACCTATAAGTTATCTTTATGGTCTCTAGCATCAAGAATGACATTTTAAGACATTGCATGGGGTGAATGTATAACATTTTTTACCTGTATTTCTTACTTCAACAGGAAAATGGTCAATACATTTCACTTAATTTATGACATTGTGGATTTAAGTATGTTTTTCTACTTATGTTTTTGCATTCCAATTGCCTATACTTCAAGTTTCACATTCTCTGGGAATATTTACTAACAATTAAACATACAGACATTATGTCACACACTTGCACTCATTATATTTGATTTTCTATCATTTTTTTATTTCTTACTTTATTTCTGATACTATAGATTATGTCTTTTGTATTTTTCAATATGCAAACACAGTTCAGGGCACATAGTAGATACCTAAATGCTTGCTTCTTTATCGTCTTGAATATGTCATTAAAATTTAATAATAATTTATTAAATATTGATAACTAAGTTACTGTTTGTTTTTTATCTAAAAATCCATTGTGAATAGAAAAGTTTTCATAAATTATTTAACTCAAATATAAAAGGAGGGAATTCTGAATAATAAAATTATATATTAGAGAACAGAAAATTTAATTATAAAAATGTAAATCAAGATGTACATTTTGGAACTCATATCCATATTTTAGAAATTTCATAGAAGCTGTCAAAATTTTATTAGCCAAAAATTTGTTAATTAAATGATCCTATAAAATTTTTATTGAAAAAATCAACATTTTAATTCAATATGTGGATGGCTAATATTGATAAGTTTAAATTTTCAGCTACTCTGGGTTCCTGGGATGAAATTAATGAAAGGGAAGCCTAATCCTGAAATATAATTGTATTTCACATGACTAGGCACATACTTCTCATCACAGATGGGAAGCATATATCATTTGTTAAATAGGATAGCTTAAGCATTATGATGGTATTTTATACATATTAGCTTGTTTAATTCTCTTAATAAACTTACGAGATCAATACCATTATTATTATTATTATTTTCAAAATCATGTTGATGCTCAGAAGTAAGATAAATTCCACAAGGACACAGTCAGTGGTAAAACCAAGGTTTGAATGAAGACCATCTGACTAGGGTTTATGTGTTTCATTCCCAACATACCTTGTTTCTTTGCTTAAAAATTTTTAACATGTATGTAACTGCTAAACTTCTGACCATCTTGTTCTTCTATGTACTTTTACATTGCTGCAGGCTTTGAGATAAAATTTATGTATGCAACAGAATTTTAACTCCTCTAATCTCAGTTTTCCAAGATTTTCATAATCATATCTCAATTTTCCCAGACATCAAAACCAAAATTAAATAGTACATACAGTGTTTTCAAGGTTTTAAACCTGCATAGTAATATGTTTCATTTTATTTGCTATTTTAAAATGATCTGAAATATTTGACCTTATTACAACTAAATTAGTCACATTAAAAATCTTAGATGATTAACATTCTTCGTGGATGTGTTTCATCTCTCTAGCCAGATAATAACTTTTTATAACTTGCTTTGGCATACAAAAGTGTCAGCTAAAATTGTGAGTGGGACAAGTATAGAAGTCAGCCCTAAAAAAACATCAGTAAGAAAATACCATATGTGTAGTAATAATTTTTTGAATTAAAAAAAGTTGGTATAGAATCATGTGCAAAAGTCTGTTGTACCTCAGCAGAAAGGACCAAAATAGAATACACATATACAGCCACATAGTTTTGGAGAAAAAAAAATAAAAGAATAGAGTTCTGGATAGCTATTATATGTAAAATGAAAAAAAAAAGTAATTTTGTGTTGTATTTATCAACTTTAAATGCCAAAAGGCTTGTTCATTATCAAGAAAGGTAAAAAGATCTACCATAAAATTATTTTTTTCCATGAGCTTTAAAAAATATGTATCATTAAAAAGCATTGAGTTGCAGCCCGGTTTGCGTATAACTCAGTGACAGAAGAGATCTACACTGCTTAAAGAAGACTATTAATCATAGTTAAGCACATTCATCTTATTTCTTTCCAGCTAACCAGCATAATGATCAGGATTATTATTTCTAATTAGAGGAAGTAATAGATCATGTATAACCTTAGGATGAGTCTCATTAATTAACCCAAGTCCTAGGGGACTTCAAATAGAGGTGGTTAGGCACTCTGTCTTTGTCATCACTCACACCATAGGTTTACACTTAATATATATGATCAAATGTAATTGAAACTACGACTTCTTAACATGCAAGAGATATAAAATTACAGATGGCTCTCCCACATGTGAACAACTAAGGAGAAAAACAGAACAATTGTTTAAACTGTATTTATGTTGAAGTTACCTTGATCCTAAATATTCTTTGAGAAACATTTCAAAATAAAAGGGTTATTAAGAGCTAATGAATCTAGTTTGTAACACTATTAGCACAAGAAAGAAAGGAGAACCCTTATGCTTAAATATCAAAAACTGAACCAGTGTCTTTCCTCACAAAACTGCCTCTTTCTTTTATCTTCCTTATTTGTCATATTTTATTATTTTAATCACCAAGACGATAAACCATACACCCATGCACTAAATGTAACTGTATAGTACATATGTATGTTAAATTAATTCTCTCTATATAATTAATTCACTTCCTTTGATGTATGTGTGTGTACGTGTGTATGTCCTTTGCTCGTTTTAGAATTCTCAACCCTGTTGACTCTTTCATAATTAGCCCTTCATTGACATTCTAATTCTCTATCTAAATCCAGAATTATTACTCTACAGTTTTGAACATTATAGCAAACTTTAAACTGAGTATCTCCATATATATACAATGGTAGATAATAAATGATGTAAAAATAGAGCTGAGTAAGATAAGAAGTATCAGGGCTGAGAGTCAGAATTCTCTATAATTTTAAGTACAGTGGCTAGATTAGGCCTCATTAATAAAGTGATATTTAGGTCAAGACCTAAAAGAGTTGAAGCAGTTGGTCATTTGAATATATGGGTAATGGACAGCCCTAAGGTAAGTATATGTCTGGAGAGTTCTAGGGTCGGTAAGAACTGTAGTTGGAGTAGGGTGGGCAAGATGGAAAGTGGCAGCAAGTAATTCAGAGAAGTAATAGGGATGGGAATTTTTAAAGGCTTGAAGGCTTCACTAAAGACTGACTTTTGATCTAAGTGTGATGAGAAGATATTGGTGGGAGGGATGAGCAGAGGAGTTACATGATTGAATGATGTTTTAAAAGGCTTACTCTTATAAAGATTAGATTGCTGGGGAGCCAAGAGTCCAGTAGATTACTGTTGAAGTTATTCAGGGGTTATAGGATGTAGGCTTATTAGGATGGAGCAGTGGAAGTAGAGAGATGTGATGGGGTTCTACATATATTTTGAGGAAAGAGCAAAAGATATGCTGATGAATTGACTACAGGGTTTACAAGAAAAGTGAGGAGTCAGGAACTTCCCCAATATATTAATAGTTTGGACCATGCATCTGGAATGATGAAATTGCCATTGACTGAGATAGGGGAGCATCTGTATGAATGTTTAGAAGGAAATTTCTGTTGCTGTTAGATATCCAAATAAAAATATCAAGTAGATAGACCAATATGTGAACCTAGAAATTAGAAGAAAGGACAGACATGAATTTGGGAGTGAAAGGCATTGATGGTAGCCATCAGATAAGATGAGATCATTAAAGAACAGTGTGTATATAAAGAGAAGTGATTGAACTGGAATTCAAAACCAGTCTAACTCTAAAATCATGCTCTATAAATGTACTATTTTTAACTGGCCCTTTATATGATTAAATAAGATTTTATATGATGAATTCTATTCAGTATGGTGGAGAATCCAGTGTGAACAGTCTCCTGGAATGCCCTGCACATCAAATTTATGACCATTCTTCAAGATTTCAACTACCACAGATGCTATAAAATCTTCCTAAACACTTTCTCTCTTCATCAGTTTTTTTTTTTGTTTTGTTTTGTTTTGTTTTGTTTTGTTTTGTTTTGTTTGCATGTGATACCATATTACTCTATCTCATTTATTGTTTAACTGTTTTGAAAAGACACTGGGTTCTGTAGAGAGCCTCAAACACAATGGAAGAGTCACGGGAGATTGAGAGCAGGTTCAGGGTTCTTTCATGCTTTAAACAAATCAACTAAGATGTCATCTGTTCTATATGCTGTTCTACTTCAGATGATCTCAAATGCTGTATAAATATGTACTTCAAAGAATGAATAGTTTTAAGCTGACAGAATTTTTGATATAGTTGTGTTTTTGTCTTTCACCTCCTACTCCACCAAAATCTATCACAAAAGGGACACAATATCTTAGGATGGCAATAAACATGTTTTCAGAATAACTGAGTTTTACATCTTACTTCACAATTGTTTCATGAAAGTGACATTTCTAAATTCATAGACAGATTAGATACAGTTCAAAAGAGAAATAGTAAGCTTCAATATAAATTGGTACCTAACTACATTGGTACCTCAGATCCCATTTAGGGTTCATCAGTTGTCCTAATAATATTTTTTTTCCACAAAACTAGTCCAGAATCATATTAATTTTCTGTTATTGATGGTTGTATTGTATGTGTGTGTGTGGGGTGTGTGTATGTGTATATATGTATATATGTGTATATGAGAATGTTTCCATATGTAGGAAATAGTAATGTAAATGGGAGTGGTAGTGATGGAGCAGAATTTTGGCAACTTACTCTCAAGTGGCTGAGGGAAAAAGTTAATTATAGAGTCATTGCAACTTTTCTGTAAATTTGAGATTAAAAAATAAAAATATTACTGTAAAATGTAAAAAATATTAATATAAGATATTTCCATAAAACTTTATTCACAAATATCAGATGTACTGAGTTTCAGAAACTAATAAAACTATTTATATTCATTTTATCAGTAGACATGTTTTGCATTGCAATACAATGCAAAGATAGTTCTTACCTGAGTGACCTCTCTGAAAACCAGAATCTGCAATCAAACAGTCAGATCAAATTAACTAATTGAAAGACTGCATGTAATAATATCTACAATTTTACTTATCTCATACGTTATATGTTAGGACTGTCTGAAAATGAACTCATACTCAATAATAAGAAAAATATTATGTAAAATAATGGTTGCTAATTGATTGATATTATTCCTGTATATCCATATTGAATATTCAACATTTGCCACTTGTGGAATATCGTCATTGTTCTAAGCTCTTTAAATTCACTGATTTTTCTAGTACATTTAATCTGTTTTTCCATTTAACTACTCCTAAAAATTACATCAAGATTTTGTATTTTATTTTGAGATGCCTTACAGACTATAATCTATTCCAGTGGGATATTTGTTCATGACAGTATATAACTTAAAACACAATTTTAATTCCCCTTTACTTAATAATTTATAGTGATGTCTATAGATATTCTAACAATTAAATATCTCTGAAAGACATTTCAAAGCATAGTTTGAAAATAATTTGATATGTTGGACTCAGTATGAATTTTTATATAATCTCATATAGTTATAAAATAAATGTTGACTTTAGGGAGAAAAGGAAAACTCATCCTAATGAGTATTTGGGGTTCAGATTTAATACTTTGCTCATGCTTAAAAACCTATTTACCTTGAGATTCCCATTTCTACTTAGAAACAATTCAAATTGACTAAAAAGTCAACTAAAACTACATCTATTTATTATTGTGTATTTGCTTATGAAAACGTTAGGAGTTTCAGCCTTGTAATAGGATGAGAAATAAAGAAGATCGAACGCAGGTTTTTAAATATAGTTTTTTTTTGGTGTTTTTTCTTTTTTTTTCATTTTAGTTTTTAATGGGAGGAAGGGGTACCCATTGCAATCTGAGCCACCATGGCTTAAAGATGATAGGCACTTTATATACATTAATTGATAGCACACATTTGGTTCAGGGGAGACCTGGGAAGTTAGTGCAGAAGTTTCTCCTGCTTATCCTTCTCCCAGCTGAATTAGAGACAAATTAGGAAGAAAAAAACACTTTGTCTTCTTTGCAATGGAAAGTAAAATAGAAACAGACACAGTAAATTATAATGAGAGCTAGTTGGATACGAATAGAAAAATTACGAGTATCTCACTCAGTCTTCCCATTTCGGTAATGTGAAGATTTTAACATTTCCCTGTTGCCTATTCTCATTAGAAAAATGCCATTTTACTAAATAAGTGGAGGAAAATATGTTAGTAGAACATTTTAACTTATATAGTTAAACAGGCAGGAAGGAAGGGCATGATATGGTAAAAATTAGTGTTTTTAATTGTCTCATTAAATATTTAAGAATACTTTCTAGAGGAGAAATAACACTGCAGTAAAGATAATTTGAATCTACTTTCAAAAAAGCAGATTGATCCAAAACTGTTCCACTTAGTATTTAGAGGACACAATTAGCTGAATACTTTTGTTATTAATTTTTTTTTCATCAAACTGTATTTAGATGGGAGTTATATAGGGTTACATTGAATAGGAATACTTTTATTTTTAAAAATCTATTATTTAACATTGGACTCAGGTAATAGACAACACTTGTCTTTTCCCACCCTATGTAAAACAACTCTACCCATACAAATACGTGCCATCACCTTACCTGCTTTATTTCCTATCATGGCATGTTTCATTACTAAATATGTATTTGTTTATTGCATATTTCTCCACTATAATATAAGCTCCATTAGGACAGCAACTTTGCCTTTCTTGTTCAACTGAGAGCTGAGTTGTGATGAAAGCAGTAGCACATGATGTACAGTCAAGTCAATTCCTGTTACCTGAAAGAGAGATCAATAGTTAATGGACTCTATTTAGCAAATAGACTTGATTAACTAGCAACCTATTCAGCAAGCAGGAAAAGAAGGCACTGAACAAATTGTGTAGATAAGGACTCTTAGGCCAAAAGGGACCTCAAAGAATCTTATTGAGTTTCTTTCTAGTTCACAAGTGGTTGGGAAGATGGATTCCACATATGCCTCAAAACTCTCACTTAGGACTCCTGCATAAAAGGAGGGCTCTCTATAAGCTGATCTACTTCTTTGCTTCTCATCCCTTTTCCCTCGAATTCTGCTTTATTTTGGCTCATTCACTTACTATCTGAAAATCGTAACTTTTGTTTTCATCTTACGGGAATTACAAATGTTATTCCCTCTTCCTGACTGCCTTCCCCTCTGCCCTCTACCTAGATAGGCATGCCTTTCTTTGTAGAGGAAGTTTTCCTGTTGAACACACCACACACACACACACAGACACACACACACAGACACACACACACACATTGCAGAAAGTAATATTATTGAAATTGCGTATTGGTATTTTATAATTTAGAAATAACAAGGAGTCTTATTCATATATAATAGGCCTAATAATTTTTCCATATATATAACTTTTCTTATAGATCACTCCTGTGCCTGGTACTCACCCACTTTTAGTTTTTGTGAACCCCAAAAGTGGTGGAAAACAAGGAGAACGGTATGTTTTTAAATTAATTTTAGTGTCTATTTCACATATATGTTAAAAAAATAGACAAACGACGTAAAAATGCTTAAAAACAATTATTCCTGTCTGCTAATTTTAATGCAAAATAAATGATGCTAGCATGTAATATGTTTATATGATCTTGTTTTCAGGATTGCAATTTTAATACAATGGCCTTTTGTAACTATTTTTATTATTATAGCTCAGGTGTTTGAATTATCTCTACCCCACCTATCACCCCTATCACCTAACAGAGAGTCTGGCTTCATAAATACTGTTGAATGAAAATTGGTTCTCTAAATGGTTACCAAGATGAATCCAGGTAAATCATAACTCAGTACTGAGGAACAGAATTTATACCCAACTCCTAGGCAAAATATATTATAATGATGTTCTTCATGTGCTTTTTGGAGAACATGATGCCGTATTTCCTGGAGAAGTACAATATATTTAATCTGAATACTAATGAGTTGCATTATCAGGTATTTCAGCATTCTGGCTGATAACATTTTATTTTGTAATGAATGAATGATTAAATTACATTATTTAATACAAATATGAAAATCACTACATTGAAGAGTAAATCTTATGTCTTACTAAAGATGACATTCATGAACAAAAATGCAGTTATACCTGCCTTAATGCTTTTTAGATACCTCTCCTAATCTCAACCAAAATAAGCAAGCAGATGAAAGCACTCATAACAAACATGACAATAGTATAACAAATTTCCTTTGTAGTTCACCAAATAGCAAAGTTGAAATGTTTCCATGAAAAAAGTAATTTTTTCTACCATTTAAATTTCTAGCTTTCTTTCCATGAAATGAAGAATGCTTTTCATTATTGAATCAACAAAACATTGTTGCTTTAAAGAGTGTGAGATTTTTATCCTAGCACTTTGGGAGGCTGAGGTGGGTGGATCATGAGGTCACGAATTTGAGACCAGCCTGGCCAACATAGTGAAACCCCGTCTGTACTAAAAATACAAAAAAATTAGCTGAGCATGGTCATGGGCTCCTGTAATCCCAGCTACTTGGGAGACTGAGGCAAGGAGAATCGCTTGAACCTGGGAGGTTGCAGTGAGCCAAGATCGTGCCACTGCACTCCAGCCTGGGTGACAGTGTGAGACTCTGTCTCAAAAATAATAATAAAATAAAATAAAATAAAAAGTATAAGATTTTTTCTTTTCATCAATATCTAGTTATATTTTACACCTGTAAACATGATAGAAAATATTTTAAATAAATAATGTTTTAATAATTAAAAATATTCCCAATGCTTTATTAAAGGGAATAGTTTTACTCATAAAATAATAATTAAATAATGATGCTGAAATTACTTTCTTCTTTACTACTTACAGTCTGTTAGCTGTATATATTATTGATAGCTTGAACAAAAAAGAAAACATTCCACAAATAATTAGATGAGACTTAAATCCACATTGGAAATTACAGAAAATTGAAGATTGAAGAGAAAAAAAAATAATATTTTCAAAGGAAAATTTTTTTTCTCAAATTAAGATAATATGAATCATGTAGAATGACCCTTAATTGAATATTTGCCTTCCCTTTCTGCCAGTACATATAAATAATTTTCCCTAAATTAAAAAAATACATATACATATGTATAGTTACCCTAAAATCTTAAGGAAATTAAACTTACTGGAGGCTTCAACTTTGAACTCTTCTCTATACACGTCCACTTGTGTTTTGTTCTTTATTCATTGACTGGGACCACGCAAAGTCAAATGTAATGTAAATATGTTTTAAAGGTGATCTGCTTTGAATGCAAACATAATTTTTCTGCCTGCATTAGAGGCACCTTTCACAAGGTGATTCCATTCAGTGTTTTCTTTTCCAAATTTCTTGGCTTTTTTAACTTTGATGTTAGACAAGTTGCAAAAGGTCACAGAATCATAAATCCACATAAAGTTTTCCATATCAGTCAATAAGTCTGAAAATGTTCACATATGTGTTCAGGCAGCAACACTGAGTTGAATCCAAACTCTGCTAGTGACTGGGAATAAGAGGCATAAGGCACAGTCATGCAGAGAGGCAGGGACATAAATAGATCTATTGCAATACTATATATTACAGGTTAAACTAGAAATGTTTAAAATAAAAGTTCTATTGAAGTTCAGAGAAAGAGATAACTATCTCTGAAGACCAAGAAGTCTTTAGAGAAGAAGTAGCTTTTGTATTGTTTCTTACATGATAGATGTTTGCCCGATGAAAGAAGGAGAAAGACAGACTTGTGAAATGGCAGGGTGTCAACCAAGAGGAATTTACCATGATGACAATGTAAAGAGAAAGAGGGGAAAGATGAGAGATAAAGTGTGACTGAATTGTGACGATGTCTAAATTTTATATTGTGAACAACTGGACACTGACATAAACTTTACATCATGGATAAGGTATGACTGTACTTAGACAATAGTATAGAGGAGGGCTGGGTTGCCAAGAATTTTACAAAGCTGGTGAAAGAACTTGAAGACCTTAACTAAGGCAGTGGGATAGAATAGCCAGGTTTGATAGGCATTTTTTAAAGTTTGTTGCCAAGGACAACGTCAGATAGGGTATTTCCTAGGTTTTCTTTTAGGAAGACACAGAATTGTCCACTAGTAAGTTCAGGTGCCAGGGAAAAGAGGGTATTGAGAACAACTCTAGGTGATATAAGCTGATATTACATACTGAAGTTGGAGAATTTTATCAGTAAATATTATAAGAAAGTGTTTATAAAATATATAATCATATTTTCATATGTGTATAAAACCAATTTAGTAACCTAAATATATCCCTTAACTTAAAAAAAAATCTTTTTTTTTGCCGGGCGCGGTGGCTCACGCCTGTAATCCCAGCACTTTGGGAGGCCGAGGCGGGCGGATCACAAGGTCAGGAGATCGAGACCACAGTGAAACCCTGTCTCTACTAAAAATACAAAAAATTAGCCGGGCGCGGTGGTGGGTGCCTGTAGTCCCAGCTACTCAGGAGGCTGAGGCAGGAGAATGGCGTGAACCCGGGAGGCGGAGCTTGCAGTGAGCCGAGATCGCGCCACTGCACTCCAGCCTGGGCGGCAGAGCGAGACTCCGTCTCAAAAAAAAAAAAAAAAAAAAAATCTTTTTAATTTCAGCTTTTATTTTAGATACAGGAGGTACATGTGCAGGTTTGTTACATGAGTATATTATGCTCAGGTAGCAAGCATAGTACCCAACAGGTAGTTTTTTTTCATATCTTCCTCCACTCCTTCTTTTCCCACTCTGGTAGTCTCCCATGTCTATTGTTCCCATGTTTATGTCTGTGTGTTCTCAGTGTTTAACTCCTGCTTAACGTTGCATGCAGTACATGCAGTATTTGGTTTTCTGTTTCTGTGTTAATTCACTTAAATCTCCATCCACATTGCTGCAAAGGACATGATTTCATTCTTTTGTAATGGCTGTGTAATATTCCATGCTATGTATGTATGGCATTTCCTTTATCCAGCCCACCACTGATGGATACCTAGGTTGATTCCATGTCTTTGCTCTTGTGAATAGAACGGGAATGAAAATAAAAGTGTATGTATCTTTTTGGTATATGGTGTGTTTTCCTTCGAGTTTACACCCAATAATGGGATTGCTGGGTTGAATGCTGGATCTGTTTGAAGTTTTTTTTAAAAATATTCAAACCATTTTCTACAATGGCTGAACTAATTTACATTCACAACAATAGCATAGAGGCATTTCTTTTTCTTTGCAGCCTTGCCAATATCCACTGGTTTTTGACTTTTTAATAATAGCCATTCTGATTGGTGTAAGATGGTATTTTATTGTGGTTTTAATTTGCATTTCTTTGATGATTAGTGATGATGAACATGTTTGCATATGTTTGTTTCCTGCTTGTATGTCTTTTAAGAAGTGTCTGTTCATTTATTTTGCCCATTTTTAATGGGGCTATTTGTTGTTGCTTTTTTCTCATTGATTTAAGTTCCTTATAGATTCTGGATATTATACCTTTGTTGGATGAATAGTTTGCAAATATTTTCTCCCATTCTACAGGTTGTCTCTACTCTGTTGATGGTTTCTTTTGCTGTGCAGAAGCTCTGTAGCTTAATCAATTTCTGCTTTTGTTGCAATTTGAGGACTTAATAGAAATGTGTTGCCAAGGCCAATGTCGAGTGGGATATTTCCTAGGTTTTCTTTTAGAAACGCGGTTTGGGGTCTTACATTTAAATTTTTAATCCATGTTGAGTTAATTTTTATATGTGGTGAAAAATAAGAGTCCAGTTTCATTTTTCTGCATATGGCTAGCCCGCTATTCCAGTAACATGTATTGAATAGGAAGTCCTTTCCCTATTGTTTATATTTGTTGGCCTTGTTGAAGATCAGGTGAAGGTTTGTAGCTATATTTCTGAGTTTTCTATTCTGTCCCATTGGCGTGAGTGTCTGATTTTGTACTAGTACCATGCTGTTTTTGTAACTGTAGCCTTATAGTGTGATCCTTCCATCTTTGTTCTTTTTAGCTTAGGCTTAATTTGGCTATCCAGGCTCTTTTATTGGTCACACATGAATTTTAGAAGAGTTTTTTTCTAAGTCTTTGAAGAACGACATTGCTAGTTTCCTAGAAACAGTGTTAAATCTGTAAATTGCTTTGGGCAGAGTAGCCATTTTAACGATAGTGATTCTTCCATAAGCATGGAATTTTTTTCTTTTTTCGTTTGTTTGTGTTATCTCTGATTTCTTTCAGCAGTGCTTTGTAGTTCTCCTTGTAGAGTGCTTTCACCTCCTTGTTTAGTTGTATTCCTAGGTATTTCATTTTGTGTGTGTGTGGCTATTGTAAATGATATTGTATTCTTGACTTGACTCTGCCAGGATGTTATTGAAGTGCTGTTGATTTTTATACGTTTATTTTGTGTCCTGAAACCTTGCTAAAATTCTTCAGTTCTAGCAGCCTTTTGGTGGAATTTTGAGAGTTTTCTGAGTATAGAATCATTATCAGTGAAAAGAGAGAGCTTGACTTATTTTCTTATTTGGATACCTTTTATTTCTTTCTCTTGTCTAATTGCTCTAACTAGAACTTCCAGAACTATGTTGAATAGGAGTAGTGAGAGTGGGCATGTTTTGTTCCAGTTCTGAAGGGGAATGCTTCCAGCTTTTGCTCGTTCAGTACGATGTTGGCTGTGGGTTTGTCATAGATGGCTTTTACCATTTTGAGGGATGTTCCTTTGATGTCTAGTCTGTTGAGGATTTTATTTTTAATGAAATGATTTTGTATTTTATTAAATGCTTTTTCTGCATCTGTTGAGATAATTATATGGATTTGCCTTTTAATTCTGTTTATGTGGTGAATCACATTTATTGATTTGTGTATGTTGAACCAACCTTTTATCCCAGGAATAATGCCTAACTGATTGTGATAAATTAACTTTTTGATGTACTCTTTATCTCTTTACTTTTAGTATTTGTCTAAGCATTCATACCATGTGAGATATGTGCATGCATAGAAACATTTTTATTGCATTTATTTATAAACATTGTTTTCTTTCAGAAAAAAAAAATATTTAATACATGCTGCTAAGACAGTTTAGCAATTTTGTGAGATGACTGGTCAAGATCTTGTTTATATGAAATGATTAGGCCAGATGAGGCTACATTCTTTGCTTACATGTACATATATACAATATACCATCCCATTTCATATAGACGATAGATAATTTTCAGATCTATTAGAGATCTGTAGAGGACAAAGTATTCACAAGGATTTATTGAGAGAAGATATTTAAGCAATTTTATACTGAAATATTTAAAAAATATGTGTTTATTTGAAATCCAATTAGCTAAATAATGTTCAAAAGAGGGTTAGAGAATATTCTAAATTCATATGCATATTAAGGATGCAAGCAATATTTCTAACTTATGAACTATATTGCCTTAATAGTGACAACTAAACCTTTTAAAAAACCCTTAGTTCCTATTGAGCTGTTGGACTTCTGATATTATTGATTCAAAATTTAGTAAATTGATAGAATTTTTTATTAAATTATATAATTAATTGCAACTATATATATTTATAACACTGAGAGACATTACTTATTTTAAAAGTGTTGAATATTATTGAATTTTTTCCCATATTTTCACTTTTATAGAATTTACAGAAAATTCCAGTATCTACTAAATCCTCGTCAGGTTTACAGTCTTGCTGGAAATGGACCAATGCCAGGGTAAGTCCAAGGATAATATTATTACCATTAACTCAATTAATGTTAATTAATTAAATAAGCTGCCTGACATATCTAGAAATAATGTTATTTGAATACAGCAGCATATTAGTACATAAAAATGAAATATCAACTACATAAGAGAAACCAGTGCAAATACTGTTTTTCCAAATAGTCAATTTCTAGCAGATTTTTCTTCTTTCTAAATATGGTGAAGTAATGCTCCTTATTGTACTAATAATGATAATAATCACACACACAGAGAGACAAACTAGCTGAATGTTAGTTTGAACACTGCCACGCCATGTATTTGAAGAACCACTCTCTTTTTTGTACTTCTTATATATATTAAAAAAAAAGAGAGAGAGAGAAAGTAAGCTAGTTAGCCCATTTATGCCTAGTGTTCCATTACTGGAACACTAAGCATGTAGGAGTTATTTATATCCTACAGCTCAAGGTCATCACCGAGATCTGATTTTTAAATTCAAGTTAAATTTTAAAAATTGCAACCTCCAGCATAAATGGGTTAATGAAAACAAATTTTATGATTTATTACTTACAAAATCTAATTGCTATCACTCTCTTATAACATACTTCATTGTTAACAGGTAAGATCTAGTAAAATAAAATATATTTTTAAACATAAATGTATACTTTTGATGTCACTAGTATGCACATACAAATCATCATTAACTTGGTTTAGTTAAATAATTAATGTCATTTTCTTTCATTGACCTCTTTTCTTTCTATCAACGTGAGGGTAAACATTAGACCACATGACGTGGACAGAAGCTCTATAAGCTTTATGCATGCTTCATATATTTTTTAAAAAGCCGTTGATTTAAAATAAGTCTTACATCTCATTCTCAGGAACCAGAAACCAAATATTTTAATTGTACGCTTTTAAAAACTCAGAATAAAATTTGTACCATAGTGTCTGATACAAAAAATACATTCATAAAGTATAATTAATTAGCATAGCTTTCAGTATTATATTCAGCTCTTTCTTCTACTGCTTTGCTGCCTGCTGTCTGGGATCAGTTTCCCAATGCTGAGCAGCAGTCTGCAGAACCTCCTTCCTGTAGATGACAGGCTCACCACAGAAATTCAGTTCAGAACAATGTCTTTGTCAAGCTCCACACTCCAGAATCTAGAGGATCATGATCAGACTGTTGGCTAAGTGAGCTGGTTACATGCGGGAAGTCCCCATATAGATAAAGCCAAGCAAAAGTAAAGTATTGTAAACTCAGAAGCTCAGTCAGAATGGCTCTTTTTCTTGTCCTTTAATATTCTCTGGAATTCAAAAAAGTAGCTCTTCTGTAGAATTAGGATATTGTGCATTCAAAACTGTTGCCATTCCAAGACCCCTGTAAGTCAAATCAAACTAAGTTAATCCAGGATTTTCCTGTATTTCATAGTTAAACAAGAGGTCAAATGGCTCTGCTAATTACAAGCCTTATAGTTTAACCTCTGTGTGACTTCATTATCTTGTCTGTAAAATGAGTATTTGTGCCTGCCTTGTAGGATAGTTGTGAAGTTAAATGGGATAATGCCTATGAAGCAAATAACAATGTGCTTACCGCATAGCATGTCCTCAATGAATGTGGCTTATTATCCATATTATTTGTACAAATATGAATTAATAATTAATAAAAACATGACTATTGTGTAGCTCTATGTAAATACATTGGAATAAATTTGATTTTAGCCCTGTTCTCTCATTTCACGTTTTTCCTACTACCCTTTAAATACGTACTACATGTTTCCTTCTACTCTTTCAATTCTAGGCATCCTATTATCTTCTGCTCTATCTTAACATATTTTAAAAATGAAAGTAATATATGTAACTGTAAAAAGCCTACACTACAATAAATATTATTTAGAAAAAAATTTAATGGTCCCACTTTGAGCACTACTACTCCTCAGAAATTAGGAGTGATTGTTTGGTGTATCTTACCAAACAATCTAATACAAACATGTAAATGAGCATATTCCTGTCTATCTATACTATATTTATACACACACACACACACATATATATGTTGGAAAGATAGGTAGATCGTTTTTTACATAACAGAATATAGATTTTATATTGGCTTGCAACTTCCTTTCTGTACTCTAAAGCAGGTGATACACATTGTTCCATTTCAGTAGATATTGATCAGTTTCATTTTTCTAACTGCTGCATATTCCATAATTATGTGGGCCATCACATTACTGATGAATATTTAGATTGCCTGTGTTTTACAATTATTACCAAATATACTACATCAATATCTATCAATTTATCTGCATATTCTTGAAAGTATGTTCAAATATTTTTATGGAATCAGTGGCTATGGGTAGAATTGCCTGGCTGAAAATATTCAAAGTCAAAAGTTTGTTTTAAAAAATGAAGTTAAATATTTGTGTTGAACTTTTAGCTTCATCTTGATCACCATGAGAATGTCCTGTTTGCCTCTGATACTGATGCCCACATTGCATCCCTAGTGTCAGACTCAGACTTCTATTAGAGAGCTAGTCTTCGTTTATCCTAAAGGCAAATGCCACAGGTAGTTGCTCAGAATGGGGACTCTGACCAGGCTATGATGTTGTCCTTTCTTTGAACCCAGTGACTGATCTCCTCCCAACCCTGTTTCTAGCTGTATTGCCCCTCATCATGCTAAGAGTGTCTTATTGCAGTGATTCCCTTTTAATGTATGGCTTTAGAAGTTGCTCTATTTCATAAAGTCTCCCTATTACTCTGATACCCTTGGTGATTTATACATTTTAGTTTTATCACCGTTTCTAGTTTATTAATTTTCCAATGCTAACAATAGATTTTTTGAATGCATACTCTTGTAAGTGTAGTATGCATTTTATCTATCACTTTAAACCTGCAGTTATTCATTCTTCCAAATTCTTTTAATTTTTTTTTTCCTTTTTACCACACCAGATTGATGTATTATTTTGGTATACAACTCTTCTTTTATCCCAACTTTATTTTTTTTCAAAAACTTTGTTTATAAGAGGAACTAACTTTCTTGAACTAAAACTATTCCTAATCTAAACTTTCTGGCAAATACTGAAACTTATTGGGCATTTCATTTTTATCTTTAATTATTTTTAAAACAGAAATGGGTGTGTATTATGTGTTTCCATTCTATCTCTTTATATAAATCATCTCTCCCTGATCCTGACTATTCTGTTTCAAGGTGTCTGAAACAATAGTCTATTTCAAATCATTGTTTCCTTCCTAATGGAACATGTTGTGATATAATTGAATACATTATTTGGAGGTATAGGTTAGCTAGAAGAGATGAAATATAAAATATAAATTACTCTTGGGTTTTACATAGCAATATGTTTTCCTTCACTACATTAAAATAAGTATATATAGCTCTAGCTGTACACCAACTTCACATGTTAATGTGACTTATGAAAAGTTCATACCAAGTTTTTTGTATACTTGTGACATTACTTTTCCCCTTCTGAGTCTAATCTTCATGAAAATACAGATGGTCTATTCTCACATTATTTCTAAAATTTTAAGTGAGAAATAGGAAATACTTATTGAATTGAAATAAAATACAAGTTAACTTTAAAATATGTAAATTATTTTTCAGATTGATCAGGATAATTAAGAATAATTAATTGTTTGTGAGAAAGCTGCTCTTAGAAATCTTTGCTTTTATCTACCTGAACTAAATACAAAAGACACATATTTTAAAACTATAATGCAACAGTCAACCTACAGATTTACATATTTCAAATATCATGCATATTTGTATAGTGAAACTTTGGAATACATTCTCCTATTAAAATAAATGTATAATTTAGAAAATGCGTAACAGACTCCACAGATTTCATTACCTTCTTAATTTAAAATATCATTTTATATAATCAAATTTCTACCATATTTTATTTAAGTAAAATCTCTCTTGAATCCGAGCTTATGACCTTTTACATATGCTTCTTGTTATGAAATTATGACACAGAAATGAAGAGAATCCTCAAAAGGCTAAGGAAATGTTCATCAAAATTTGATTGAGCGCTTTTGCAAATTTCAAAAATAAAAATTTTTCTTTACTAATATAAAAGTGAAGCACTCAACTCTGTCCTTCTTATGATTAATCATAAAATAAAATGCAGATGATTCTGCAAGCTCTCCCCCAATTAAATGTGTAAGCATAATTCTGATTCTGCATTGGTCACTGGAGTGATAGAGTTTGAAAATTGATTCATGCTTCTAAATTAAAGATCTACAGATTAATAAAAGTAACAAAAATATGTTACCACAATTAATAAAGTCACATAATTGCTTGTCTTTCACACAAATTCCCCCCTTGAGTCATAGTAGGTTTTAGTCACTTTTTACATGCATCCACAAATGCACTATGATTTTAAAGATGTTGAAAAGTCTAATTTTTATTATCTCTCTCACCAACGAAGGCCAAATAGCAATTAGACTAGAGATCTATGTGTCACTGTTTAAAGACTATTGCCTATCAAAATTGCTGAAACACTCTAAAGAAACAAACACGTTCTGAATTGACCATTTGAAATGCCCGGTTCATATTTGTGTATGTGCTTTAACTTGTGTTTTATTCTGTTCTGGCTGCTATAACAGAATCCCTTAGACTGGCTAATTACAAAAAATAAAAATAAATGTATTTCTCACAGTTCTGGAACCTGGGAAGTCCAAGATCAAGGGAACAGGAGATTTGGTATCTGCTAATGGCCCACTTTTTGTTTCCAAGGTGGTGTCTTCTTGCTGCATCCTCTGGAGGGAATTAATGCTGAGTCCCCAGAAGGCAGAAGGGTAGAAAAACAGCTGGCTAGTTTCCTCAAGCCCCTTTATGAAGGCACTAATCCCATTCATAAGCGCAGAGTCCTCATCACCTAATCGCATCCTCAGTACCCCACCTCCTAATACTATTGCATTGGGCACTAAGTTTAAGCATTAATTTTGGAGACATATGAATGTTCAAACCATAGCATTCTGGACTGGATCCCCCAAAATT